AAAGTACTTAGCAGGCTACAAGAATACAACCTGGTCGCCAACCCGAAGAAATCGTTCTTCGAGCTCACCGAAATCGAGTTCCTCGGATACATCCTTGCCCCAGCAGGCGTCACCATGGCACTGGATAAGGTCATGTCTGTTACGAATTGGCAAGCCCCGCGCAGCGTTAAGGAAGTACAGATCTTCATGGGCTTTGCCAACTTCTACAGAAGGTTTATCCACAATTTCTCCGGGGTCTGTAAACCCATTACCGATTGTCTCAGGGGTGATGCTAAGAACTTTGTCTGGTCTATGACGGCCCAAGCAGCCTTCGAAAAACTCAAAACCCTATTTACGTCTGCGCCGATCTTGGTACACTTCTCTCCAGATCGCCAGACTATCGTGGAAACGGACGCAAGTGATTTTGCTATCGCCGCAATTCTATCCCAGGTTATTGACGGAAAGACTCACCCTGTTGCCTTCTATTCTCGAAAACTTAACCCAGCGGAACGCAACTACGACGTCTGGGATAAGGAGATGTTGGGAATTGTGTCAGCCTTCAAGCAATGGCGTCACTACCTCGAAGGACCTAGCCGAACGGTTCTCGTATATACGGATCACAAGAACTTGGAATATTTTTCAACAACCAAGGTTCTTAACCGACGACAGGCAAGGTGGGCTGAATCTTTGGCGGAATTTGACTTTAAGATTATTTACCGCCCAGGAACCAAAAATGGGAAGGCAGATGCACTATCGCGACGGCCGGAGTACCGTCCTGAAGGGGGAGGCACGCTTGGGAAACAGCCGATAGACAGGTTCTTTAAGCCCGGACAGTTGGCGGAGGAAGAGTTTGTGGTATCAGCGGTGTCGCTTGCCTCCAAGGGGGTGATTGACTGGTCTAAGAACTTTCTGGATCATGTCAGGCAGGCGGCATCGGGAGACCCGACATGGGTAGGATTGAAAGAGAGAGTCGAGCAAGGGGAGAAGCTGGGGGAATTGAAGGATATCGCTGAGAAAGACGGACTACTCTTCTATAAGAACCGACTCTACATTCCGGCAGACGACCGTATCAAGATCCGAATCGCACAGGCAGAACACGATTCGAAAGTGGCAGGACACTTTGGACAAGACAAGACACTGGAACTCATCACGCGTAACTTCTACTGGCCAAAAATGAACGAGTGGATTGATGATTACGTTCGGTCATGTGACGAGTGCCAGCGCAACAAACCCAGCCGCCATAAGAAGTACGGTGCGCTTCTACCACTGTCCACACCACATTCCGTCTGGCAATCGATATCAATGGACTTCGTCGTGCAGTTACCGGAATCGAAGGGATACAATCAAATTTGGGTGGTAGTCGATAGGTTCTCGAAGATGTCGCACTTCATTCCCCTAGTAGCAGAAACGACCGCGCAGGATTTAGCGAAGATATTCCTCGGTCAAATCTGGCGACTCCATGGGCTGCCTCTTGATATAGTTTCCGACAGGGACGCCAAGTTTACTTCAAGCTTTTGGGCATCCCTTATGGAATTATTGGACGTGAGGATAAGAATGAGTACGGCTTTCCACCCTCAAACCGATGGGCAAACGGAGCGAGTCAACCAAACCCTCGAGCATTACTTACGAGCGTTCTGCAACTACGAGCAAGATGATTGGGCAGAGCTACTCCCGTTGGCGGAGTATGCTTACAACAACTCGGTTACCACCGCCACGGGTCAATCTCCGTTTTATACCAATTACGGTTATAACCCAAGAACCAACTGGCCAACAGAAGCCGAAGTGGTCAACCCAACTAGTGACCTGTACGCTCACTTCATCCGAGGGGTTCATGATTCTGCTCTCGCTCGCTTAACAGACACCAGGGAGAAGATGAGGAAATACTATGATCGAAAAAGGGACGAACCGCCTAACTTCAAGGTGGGAGACATGGTTATGCTCAATGCGACCAATATTAAGACACGTCGCTCCACCAAGAAACTCGATCACAAGAAACTCGGCCCGTTTAAAATTATCCGACTAGCCGGGAAACGAGCCTGCGAACTGGAACTGCCACCACAAGTCAAAATCCATAACGTGTTCCACATTGAACTCTTGGAATGTTACCGACAGAGCAGTATCCCAGGTCGCGAACAACGTCCCCCGACTCCCGAGGAGATCGATAAGGAAGGAGAGGTGCTGTACGAAGTGGAAAGTATCGTGGGGAGCCGGAAAAGCAGAAGAGGATTAGTGGAATACCTGGTGAAATGGCGGGGCTATTCGATGAGTGACTGTACGTATCAAGTCATGGACGCTATGGATGAGGAAGTACTTGAACTTGTCCGCGACTTCCATCGAAGGAACCCCAAGGCCATGAAGGACCAACGCCTGAGACTATAGAGGTACCCTAAGGGGCTAAGTCCTTCCCCTCCACAGACACCGCGGGTGATATGTGGAGCAGGTTTACTGGAACCATAGTCTGTCAGAAGATGTCCCGAGACGTGACACCCTGGAAGGGGGGTAAGGTGTTACGGGCATGCCAAGCATTTAGGAGAAAAGGCTAGTAGATACCCCAATACCCTCCGTATCCTAACGTCAACTCTGGACCGCACCCGCGGGGTGTGGTGCGACCAAATTACGACCAAAAAATCCAGAGTCATAAAAAACACGTTTTCGACCCCAATAATAACCCCCGGAGCGTCAAACCGCCGGAGGGGAGTGTTTTGGTACCGGTGGATATATGAGGGACAGCTGAAATCAATCGGATCGAAGATCGGACCGCTCGGAGTAAATCGGCGCAAGCTGCCAGCCGACCGAGTACCTATCGGCGGTACCTGTGGGCATGAGAGGACTCTGCTATGTGGGAAAGCGATGTGGGAAGAGGCCTGAGTAGGTAGCCTTGCCGTCCGAAACCTCCGAATAGCCGACGCTGACGATTATCCACCAGACGGCCGATGGAGAAGAAACATCGACAGGGAAACGTGCATTAGGGTGGATAAATAGGTTGAGGGGTTTTAGCGGATTTAGGAGTTTGGGTTACGGACTTAGGAGTTAAAATGTTCTTGGTTGTTTTTCAGGGTCTCGGGCAGGCCCCGAGTATATTCTGTATTATTAGTAGACTGGGTCCTCGAGACATAAGCGAGGGATATAAATACTGTGTCATTCACTGACTAGCCAAACCATCATCGGCGAAATCAGAGTCTTAACAATATAAATCGTTGATACGCGAGTTACAACTTTATTTGACTATACTTTTGAAAATACTTTACTCTATCGTGACTTCGAACTCTACCTGAACTATTACGTCGAAGACGGTCGAATTCTATACGCTAACTCTAGTGAATCTTTGTTGATAACGTAGCTCGCGGGGCCCGTATCGGATCAGGGAGAATCATACTCGACGTTGACTGAAGAGACCTTGGAGACTTCTACCTTTGTAGCTGTTAGCCGAACTCTGAGCTCTGCGTAGTGTACTCTTGTGGTCTGGTACGCATCCCTCACAAGTAGGTTCTCGCTGACTAGAGATTACTGACAGTGTGCGTACCCGACGTGTGGGATCACTCGTGCGATGAGTGAAAGTAAGGAGGGGCGAAGACGGCTTTCGAAAGTAGCCGTTATTTTGGCGAGGGGTGAATGGTGGACGCGACCCGTGAGGGCACCGAACGAGCAAAGAATGGGGGGGTCGAGCGAGGGAAGTTCAGGGACCGAAGCAATTCGAGAATCAGTATAACTCCATCTCGGGGGGAAGAAATCCTACCGCGAGCTAGAGGCGAGCGGGTAGAATACAGAGGTTGCGTAAAAAAAGAAGGAAAGAAAGAAAACAGGTAAAAACACAAGACAACGCCTCCTAATATATCCAACCATAGTCCGATGATGACTAATATCTTCACGTAACAGAAACTAAAAAAACATAACAGAAATCGCAATTATAAATCCTAACTCCACTGCACAATACCTCCACTTCTCATTCCAGTTTATCACCTAATCGAAATACATAGCTGACGTTACAGACCACGCCCCCCTCTAAGGCCTACCTCCTGGTAGGCTTAGGCTTCCCTGGATAACGCTCGTAGAATCGTTTGACGATATCGGGTGAATGCTCAAGGTCAGATAGTGGTTGCCAGGAGGCTTCATCATACCCTACGTATCGTACTAAATACTCGAACCTTCTGTTACGGGCATGCCAAGCATTTACGGGAGTAAGAGAAAAGGCCAGTAGATACCCCAATACCCTCTGTACGCTAATGTCAACTCCGGTTCGCACCCACGAGGTGCGGTGCGATCGATATGCGACCAAATGCGGAGTTGCGGTTTTCCTAGTTAAAAAACACGTTTTCGACCCCAATAATAACCCCCGGAGCGTCAAACCGCCGGAGGGGAGTGTTTTGGTACCGGTGGATATATGAGGGACAGCTGGAATCAATCGGATCGAAGATCGGACCGCTCGGAGCGAATCGGTGCAAGCTGCCAGCCGACCGAGTACCTATCGGCGGTACCTGTGGGCATGAGAGGACTCTGCTATGTGGGAAAGCGATGTGGGAAGAGGCCTGAGTAGGTAGCCTTGCCGTCCGAGACCTCCGAATAGCCGACGCTGACGATTATCCACCAGACGGCCGATGGAGAAGAAACATCGACAGGGAAACGTGCATTAGAGTGGATAAATAGGTTGAGGGGTTTCAGCGGTTTTAGGAGTTTGGGTTACGGACTTAGGAGTTAAATGTTCTTGGTGGTTTTTCAGGGTCTCGGGCATGCCCCGAGTGTATTCTGTATTATTAGTAGACTGGGTCCTCGAGACATAAGCGAGGGATATAAATACTGTGTCATTCACTGACTAGCCAAACCATCATCGGCGAAATCAGAGTCTTAACAATATAAATCGTTGATACGCGAGTTACAACTTTATTTGACTATACTTTTGGAAATACTTTATTCTATCGTGACTTCGAACTCTACCTGAACTATTACCTCGAAGACGGTCGAATATCATACGCTAACTCTAGTGAATCTTTGTTGATAACATAGCTCGCGGGGCCCGTATCGGATCAAGGAGATTCATACTCGACGTTGACTGAAGAGACCTTGGAGACTTCTACCTTTGTAGCTGTTAGCCGAACTCTGAGCTCTGCGTAGTGTACTCTTGTGGTCTGGTACGCATCCCTCACACCTTCCTCTTCGTTTCCTCGAATCTAAAATATCTTCAACTTCCCATTCTTCCTCCCCTTCGATTTCAACCGGAGGTGGTAGCAATTGTTGTTGTCCTGGTAAAGGATCATTTGCTTTGGGTGACAACAACGAAACATGAAATACTGGATGAATTTTCATTGACCGGGGAAGCTCCAACTCATAAGCATAGGGATTGATAATTCGCTTGATGCTATAAGGTCCAATACGTTTCCAGTCGAATTTCTTGGAAGGTCGCTTTGTTAGAATATGACGGGTCGATAGGAAAACCTTATCTCCTAAATGATAACGAGGAGCTGGAGTTCGATTCCTATTGGCTGATTATTCTTGTATCCTTTGCGCCCGAAACATCTCTTCTCTTAGCAAATCCACTATATCCTTCATCTCTTTTGCAATATGGTTCGCTTGATCCTCTACCGTCGTTCGGCCATGTTCAAAAGGGCCAAAAGCCATCCTTGGATTTCTTCCCGAATTGGAATAAAACGGGGAGACCTTTGTTGTTTCGGAGGCATGATTGTTTGTCACAAATTCAGCCATTGGTAACATTCGAGTCCAATCATCTTGTTGGTAGGAAACATAGCTTCGGAGGTACTGTTCCATCACGGCATTGATTCTTTCCGTTTGTCCGTCTGTTTTGGGATGGAATGCGGTTGTTACGGGCATGCCAAGTATTTACGGGAAAAGGCTAGTAGATACCCCAATACCCTCCGTATGCTAACGTCAACTCTGGACCGCACCCGCGGGGTGTGGTGCGACCAATATACGACCAAAATACGGAGTCATAAAAAACACATTTTCGACCCCAATAATAACCCCCGGAGCGTCAAACCGCCGGAGGGGAGTGATTTGGTACCGGTGGATATATGAGGGACTGCTGGAAGCAATCGGATCGAAGATCGGATCACTCGGAGCGAATCGGCGCAAGCTACCAGCCGACCGAGTACCTATCGGCGGTACCTGTGGGCATGAGAGGACTCTGATATGTGGGAAAGCGATGTGGGAAGAGGCCTGAGTAGGTAGCCTTGCCGTCCGAGACCTCCGAATAGCCGACGCTGACGATTATACACCAGACCCCCGATGGAGAAGAAACATCGACAGGGAAACGTGCATTAGCTTGGATAAATAGGTTAAGGGGTTTTTAGCGAGTTTAGGAGTTTGGGTTACGGACTTAGGAGTTAAAATGTTCTTGGTTGTTTTTCGGGGTCTTGGGCATGCCCCGAGTGTATTCTGTATTATTAGTAGACAGGGTCCTCGAGACATAAGCGAGAGATATAAATACTGTGTCATTCACTGACTAGCTAAACCATTATCGGCGAAATCAGAGTCTTAACAATATAAATCGTTGATACGCGAGTTACAACTTTATTTGAACTATACTTTTGGAATTACTTTACTCTATCATGACTTCGCACTCTACCTGAACTATTACGTCGAAGACGGTCGAATACCATCCGCTAACTCTAGTGAATCTTTGTTGATAACGTAGCTCGCGGGGCCCGTATCGGATCAAGGAGAATCATACTCGACGTTGACTGAAGAGACCTTGCAGACTTCTACCTTTGTAGCTCTTAGCCGAACTCTGAGCTCCGCGTAGTGTACTCTTGTGGTCTGGTACGCATCCCTCACAGTATATTGTTACTCACAAGTTCACTTGGAGTAACGAAGTCACCTCAAAAAGAAGAACTATCATTATTATCCCCTGTTACAATGACTACCGTAAGGGATAATTATTTCATAGATCTCTCGGCCGCAACTGAGGAGGCCGGAGGGGAAGATTCTATGGTGATATCGAGGGCTGATAGCCCAGATCCCCTACTCCAGGGAGGACCATCTACACAAACTAGGTCAACGAGTAAACGCTCTGCTCAAGCCCAGTTTACAAGGTCCATGCAGGAGTTTTTGGATACCCATGAGGCACAAATGAGGTATCTTGGTACAGCTGGACAGGCCGTTTGGCAGCAGCTACAAAACCTACAGGAGCAAGTACAAGGGAGTGGGCAAATCCTGGATAAGAAAGTACAGCAAGAAGCCATTGCCCAGAAGCAACATCTCGAATCGCTCTTTGAGCTCGTCGAAAATGTTCGACAAGTACAAGAAGCCGCACGAGCCGCCGACCACGAGGTTCTGGATCGTAACCATCGAATTATCCAGACCCAGCTATTGGAGGCGGAGCGACAACTGAGGGTTGCAAGAGAAGAGCGGGAGCAGGAAAAAAGGGAACAACGGGAGCTGTTTGCGCAATTCAAGCAGTCCGATGAGGTAAGAAACCAACGGATAGCCGAGATGGAGGAACTACTGCGACAACACCTGTCAGTAGCACCTTCCGTGGCTAGTGCTCCCTTAGATCCTAATGCACCCCAAACGGTTCTTGTTGGCGATGGCAAGAACCCCCAAAATGACGGCCCCCAAACATCAGGGAACGGCAAGCAACCAGAAGGAGCCGGTCCAGTTGAAGGAAATGGAGGCAGGCAACCGGAGGATGCCGGCCCAGTGCAGGGAAACAGTAGCAGGCGACCGGTAGAAGCTGCTCCAGTAGGAGGGAATGGTGGAAATCAACCTCCCCAAACCCCACCAAGAGGAAACCTTGGGGGAGACCCAGAACCTTCCGACGACGATGACGACGATAACAGCGAATGGTCGCACGGTCGGAAGAATTGGAGAAGGAACCGAGGTGGGAACCGGAATTCGGCGCCGCCTGAGGATGAGGATATGGTAGATTCGCTTGCTAAAATACCCTTCGAGTTCGATAACGCCCGGAACCATAATCTTCGGCATTGGCTCATGGAGTGTGAGATCTACTTCGAGCAGAAGCCCAAGAAGTTCCGAACGGACAGGAACAAGGTACTGTTCGCTGGAACATATACGTGTGGGTTGGCAAAGGAATGGTTTATGGAATACATCGAGACCAAGATGCTAGGACCGGCAGCCGCGGACTACGCTACTTGGACTCGGTTCCGTCAGGAGATTAGGAAACGTTTCTTAAGCACTCAGGAGGCTATGGAGAACGCGATGAAGATGCAGCAGTTTAAGTACTCTGCTAACATCGGAGACTACCTGACGAGAATGAAGATCATGAACCAGCACGCTCAGATGAAAGGAGCATCCTATCGCGCCGCCCTGCTCCAAGGGCTACCAAATGAAATCCGGGAGCGCCACTCACGCTTCGATCCAACCGATGACGACTCCGAGTACATCCAACAGCTGGAACGAGCCGGCAAGGCTCATGAGGCTTATCAAGAGCAGATGAAGATGTTGGGGAAAGCGGAGTCGAGAGGAAGGGAGACGAATAATGGTGGAAACTCGCGGCAAAAGGAGAAGGGGTTTAAGATCAAGGGGAGGGCTCAGACTGAGGAGAAAGAAAAAGGGCAAGATAAGAAGAGCACTAGCAAGAACAAGTCGGGGAATAAGCCAATATACCACGACTACGACGAAGCCACCAAAGGAGTTCCACAGCCGGTCCGAGAACAGCGAAAGACCGATGGAGCCTGTGTGCGATGTGGCCGAAAGGGTCATCTTTGGAAGTGGTGTCGTTCAGATGCTAACAGCAGTGCATCTATCTCCTCTTTCTCCCGAAAGCGTATCCGCGATGACGATGGCGACCACGATATGGAACCACCGGAACCCCAACCTCAGAGAAAGCGAATGAGGCACCGTGCTAAGAAGCCGGCTGCGACGGCTGCTGCGGAGTACACCAGTGGGCAAGCGTTTGTGCGAGAATGCGGATCGGAATCTGAGATGGATTCCGACGAGGATTTTTGAAAGGGGACTCTGATGAGTCAGGTCAGGAGTATCCCCAGATTGCTATGTTATCACTGACGGAAAACAACAAAAAAAATATGAAAAGAAAAAGGCAGGAAGGGAGAGCGTCCCAACCGGAGAAAAAACAGAGAATTTTGGAGGAACCTATTCATGGTCCTCGGCCTATCGTTAATCAGTTCCTTTGTTTTGTAAAAAAATGTTTACCTTGTAAGGTGTTGTTGGATACTGGTGCAACTGGTCCTGTTTTGTCTGCTGTTTTTGTTGATAGTTTTGAGGTCCCGAAGGTGAAACGAGACGTCCCGGCCCGGGTATTTGGATTTAAGGGAGAAGTTATGAAGGGCACGGGACACGCATTTACACAACCATTAATTATAATGTCAAGGGGGCATCAAACACAGTTGTCATTCGAGATTGCCCCTCTCCCACTTGGCATCGATGCAATATTACCGAACTGGTGGTTGGAAGAACATAAGCCGATTATAGGGGCAAATGGGGAAGTTTCCTACGAGGGCGAGAACTGCAAGAGTCGATGCTTCACTGACAAGGAACCTCAAATAGAGATGGACGAGGGTGTACTGGACGATCCGGAGGCCCAATTCATTGGTAGCATTTGTCTTTTGGAAGATGAATCGGTCAACCTCCGCGAAACTCTTCCCTCTTGGCTCCATGGGTTCCTTAAAGTCTTCCTACCATCGGAAGCAGATAAATTACCACCACATCGATCTTACGACCATGCGATAGATCTTGAACCAGGGAAACAGCCACCATGGGGACCCGTTTACTCCCTATCCGAAGTCGAGCTGAAGGTGCTTCGGGAGTACCTAGATAAAATGTTGCGATTGTGAAAGATTAGGCCGAGCAAATCCCCAGCAGGAGCCCCAATCCTATTTGTGAAGAAGAAGGACGGTAGTCTGCGACTTTGCGTTGACTACCGTGGACTTAACCGTGTGTCCATCAAGAACAGGTATCCGTTACCGCTTATGGACGAGCTGCGAGATCGAGTGGCAGGCGCGGTTACCTTCTCGAAGATTGACCTGAAGGAAGGTTATAACCTCATCAGGATCAAAGACGGCGACGAGTGGAAGACAGCCTTTCGTACGCGGTACGGGCATTTTGAGTACCTCGTCATGCCTTTTGGGCTGGCAAATGCGCCGGCGACCTTCCAGAACATGATGAATGATGCGCTGAGGGAATTCCTGGATCAAGGGGTAGTAGTATACCTTGATGATATCCTAATATATAGCAAGTCTCGAAAAGAACACAGGGAGCTGGTTGGCAAAGTACTTAGCAGGCTACAAGAATACAACCTGGTCGCCAACCCGAAGAAATCGTTCTTCGAGCTCACCGAAATCGAGTTCCTCGGATACATCCTTGCCCCAGCAGGCGTCACTATGGCACTGGATAAGGTTATGTCTGTTACGAATTGGCAAGCCCCGCGTAGCGTTAAGGAAGTACAGATCTTCATGGGCTTTGCCAACTTCTACAGAAGGTTTATCCACAATTTCTCCGGGGTCTGTAAACCCATTACCGATTGTCTCAGGGGTGATGCTAAGAACTTTGTCTGGTCTATGACGGCCCAAGCAGCCTTCGAAAAACTCAAAACCCTGTTTATGTCTGCGCCGATCTTGGTACACTTCTCTCCAGATCGCCAGACTATCGTGGAAACGGATGCAAGTGATTTTGGTATCGCTGCAATTCCATCCCAGGTTATTGACGGAAAGACTCACCCTGTTGCCTTCTATTCTCGAAAACTTAACCCAGCGGAACTCAACTACGACGTCTGGGATAAGGAGATGTTGGGAATTGTATCAGCCTTTAAGCAATGGCGTCACTACCTCGAAGGACCTAGCCGAACGGTTCTCGTATATACGGATCACAAGAACTTGGAATATTTTTCAACAACCAAGGTTCTTAACCGACGACAGGCAAGGTGGGCTGAATCTTTGGCGGAATTTGACTTCAAGATTATTTACCGCCCGGGAACCAAAAATGGGAAGGCAGATGCACTATCGCGACGGCCGGAGTACCGTCCTGAAGGGGGAGGCATGCTTGGGAAACAGCCGATAGACAGGTTCTTTAAGCCCGGGCAGTTGGCGAAGGAAGAGTTTGTGGTATCAGCGGTGTCGCTTGCCTCTAAGGGAGTGATCGACTGGTCTAAGAATTTTCTGGATCATGTCAGGCAGGCGGCATCGGGAGACCCGATATGGGTAGGAATGAGAGAGAGAGTTGAGCAAGGGGAGAAGCTGGGGGAATTGAAGGATATTGCCGAGAAAGACGGGCTACTCTTCTATAAGAACCGACTCTACATCCCGGCAGACGACCGTATCAAGATCCGAATCGCACAGGCAGAACACGACTCGAAAGTGGCAGGACACTTTGGACAAGACAAGACACTGGAACTCATCACGCGTAACTTCTATTGGCCAAAAATGAACGAGTGGATTGATGACTACGTTCGGTCATGTGACGAGTGCCAGCGCAACAAACCCAGCCGCCATAAAAAATACTGTGCGCTTCTACCACTGTCCACGCCACATTCTGACTGGCAATCGATATCAATGGACTTCGTCGTGCAGTTACCGGAATCAAAGGGATACAATCAAATCTGGGTAGTAGTCGATAGGTTCTCGAAGATGTCGCACTTCATTCCCTTAGTAGCAGAAACGACCGCGCAGGATTTAGCAAAGATATTCCTCGGTCAAATCTGGCGACTCCATGGGCTGCCTCTCGACATAGTTTCCGACAGGGACGCCAAGTTTACTTCAAGTTTTTGGGCATCCCTTATGGAATTGTTGGATGTGAGGATAAGAATGAGTACGGCTTTCCACCCTCAGACCGATGGGCAAACAGAGCGAGTCAACCAAACCCTCGAGCACTACTTACGAGCGTTTTGTAACTACGAGCAAGATGATTGGGCAGAGCTACTCCCGTTGGCGGAGTATGCTTACAACAACTCGGTTACCACCGCCACGGGCCAATCTCCGTTCTATACCAATTACAGTTACAACCCAAGAACCAACTGGCCGACGGAAGCTGAAGTGGTCAACCCAACCAGTGACCTGTATGCTCACTTTATCCGAGGAGTTCATGATTCCGCTCTGGCTCGCTTAACAGATACCAGGGAGAAGATGGGGAAATACTACGATCGGAAAAGGGACGAACCGCCTACCTTCAAGGTAGGAGATATGGTTATGCTCAATGCGACCAACATCAAGACTCGTCGCTCTACCAAGAAACTCGATCATAAGAAACTCGGCCCGTTCAAAATTGTCCGACTAGCCGGTAAACGAGCCTGCGAATTGGAACTGCCACCGCAAGTCAAAATCCATAACGTGTTCCATATTGAAATCTTGGAACGTTACCGACAGAGCGGTATCCCAGGTCGTGAACAATGTCCCCCAACTCCCGAAGTTGTCGATAAAGACGGAGAGGTTCTGTACGAAGTGGAAAGTGTTGTGGGAAGTCGGAAAAGCAGGAGAGGATTAGTGGAATACCTGGTGAGATGGCGGGGCTATTCGATGAGCGACTGCACTTACCAAGTCATGGACGTTATGAATGAAGACGTACTTGATCTAGTCCGCGACTTTCATCGAAGGAACCCCAAGGCTGTGAAGGACCAACGCCTGAGACTATAGAGGTACCCCACGGGGCTAAGTCCTTCCCCTCCACAGACACCACGGGTGATATGTGGAGCAGGTTTACTGGAACCATAGTCTGTCAGAAGATGTCCCGAGACGTGACTCCCTGGAAGGGGGGTAAGCTGTTACGGGCATGCTAAGCATTTGTGGAGTGAGAGAAAGGCTAGTAGATACCCCTATACCCTTTAATACTAATGGCAACACCACTATCAACTCCGGTTCGCACCTACGAGGTACGGTGCGATCAATATGCGATCAAATGCGGAGTTGCGGTTTTCCTAGTTAAAAAACACGTTTTCGACCCCAATAATAACCCCCGGAGCGTCAAACCGCCGGAGGGGAGTGTTTTGGTACCGGTGGATATATGAGGGACAGCTGGAATCAATCGGATCGAAGATCGGACCGCTCGGAGCGAATCGGCGCAAGCTGCCAGCCGACCGAGTACCTATCGGCGGTACCTGTGGGCATGAGAGGACTCTGCTATGTGGGAAAGCGATGTGGGAAGAGGCCTGAGTAGGTAGCCCTGCCGTCCGAGACCTCCGAATAGCCGACGCTGACGATTATCCACCAGACGGCCGATGGGGAAGAAATATCGACAGGGAAACGTGCATTAGAGTGGATAAATAGGTTGAGGGGTTTTAGCGGGTTTAGGAGTTTGGGTTACGGACTTAGGAGTTAAATGTTCTTGGTTGTTTTTCAGGGTCTCGGGCAGGCCCCGAGTGTATGCTGTATAATTAGAAGACTGGGTCCTCGAGACATAAGCGAGGGATATAAATACTGTGTCATTCACTGACTAGCCAAACCATCATCGGCGAAATCAGAGTCTTAACAATATAAATCGTTGATACGCGAGTTACAACTTTATTTGACTATACTTTTGGAATTACTTTACTCTATCGTGACTTCGAACTCTACCTGAACTATTACGTCGAAGACGGTCGAACATCAAACGCTAACTCTAGTGAATCTTTTTTGATAACGGAGCTCGCGGGGCCCGTATCGGATCAAGGAGAATCATACTCGACGTTGACTGAAGAGACCTTGGAGACTTCTACCTTTGTAGCTGTTAGCCGAACTCTGAGCTCTGCGTAGTGTACTCTTGTGGTCTGGTACGCATCCCTCACAGTATCGGATCAAGGGGATTCATATTCGACGTTGACTGAAGAGACCTTGGAGACTTCTACCTTTGTAGCTGTTAGCCGAACTCTGAGCTCTGCGTAGTGTACTCTTGTGGTCTGGTACGCATCCCTCACAGACATCTTCGAAAACCTATCAACTACTACCCATATTTGGTTATATCCCTTTGATTCCGGTAACTGCACGACAAAGTCCATTGATATCGATTGCCAGACAGAATGTGGCGTGGACAATGGTAGAAGCGCACCGTATTTCTTGTGGCGGCTGGGTTTATTGTGCTGGCACTCATCACATGACCGAACGTAATCATCAATCCACGCGTTCATTTTTGGCCAATAGAAGTTGCGTGTGATGAGTTCCAAGGTTTTGTCCTGTCCGAAGTGTCCTGCGACCTTCGAGTTGTGTTCTGCTTGTGCGATTCGGATCTTGATACGGTCGTCTGCCGGAATGTAGAGTCGGTTCTTATGGAAGAGTAGCCCGTCTTTCTCAGCAATATCCTTCAGTTCCCCTAGCTTCTCCCCTTGCTCAACTCTTTCTTTCATTCCTACCCATGTCGGGTCTCCCGATGCCGCCTGCCTGACATGATCCAAAAAGTTCTTAGACCAGTCAATCACCCCCTTGGAGGCAAGCGACACCGCTGATACCACAAACTGTTCCTCCGCCAACTGCCCGGGCTTAAAGAACCTGTCTATCGGCTGTTTCCCAAGCGTGCCTCCCCCTTCAGGACGGTACTCCGGCCGTCGCGATAGTGCATCTGCCTTCCCATTCTTGGTTCCCGGGCGGTAAATAATCTTAAAGTCAAATTCCGCCAAAGACTCAGCCCACCTTGCCTGTCGTCGGTTAAGAACTTTGGTTGTTGAGAAATATTCCAAGTTCTTATGATCCATATAGACGAGGACCGTTCGGCTAGGTCCTTCGAGGTAGTGACGCCATTGCTTGAAGGCTGACACAATTCCTAGCATCTCCTTATCCCAGACGTCGTAATTGAGTTCCGCTGGGTTAAGTGTTCGAGAATAAAAGGCAACAGGGTGAGTCTTTCCGTCAATAACCTGGGATAGAATTGCGGCGATAGCAAAATCACTTGCGTCCGTTTCCACGATAGTCTGGCGATCTGGAGAGAAGTGTACCAAGATCGGCGCAGACGTAAACAGGGTTTTGAGTTTTTCGAAGGCTGCTTGGGCCGTCATAGACCAGACAAAGTTCTTAGCATCACCCCTGAGACAATCGGTAATAGGTTTACAGACCCCGGAGAAATTGTGGATAAACCTTCTGTAGAAGTTGGCAAAGCCCATGAAGATTTGTACTTCCTTAACGCTGCGCGGGGCTTGCCAATTCGTAACAGACATAACCTTATCCAATGCCATAGTGACGCCTGCTGGGGCAAGGATGTATCCGAGGAACTCGATTTCGGTGAGCTCGAAGAATGATTTCTCCGGGTTGGCGACCAGGTTGAATTCTTGTAGCCTGCTAAGTACTTTGCCAACCAGCTCCCTGTGTTCTTCTCGAGACTTGCTATATATTAGGATATCATCAAGGTATACTACTACACCCTGATCCAAGAATTCCCTCAGCGTATCATTCATCATATTCTGGAAGGTCGCCGGCGCATTTGCCAGCCCAAAGGGCATGATGAGGTACTCAAAATGCCCGTACCGCGTACGGAATGCTGTCTTCACTCGTCGCCGTTTTTGATCCTGATGAGGTTGTAACCTTCCTTCAGGTCAATCTTCGAGAAGATAACCGCGCCTGCCACTCGATCTCGCAGCTCGTCCATAAGCGGTAACGGATACCTGTTCTTGATGGACACGCGGTTAAGTCCACGGTAGTCAACGCAAAGTCGCAGACTACCGTCCTTCTTCTTCACAAATAGGATTGGGGCTCCTGCCGGGGATTTGCTAGGCCTAATCTTTCCCAATCGCAACATTTTATCCAGGTACTCCCGAAGCACCTTCAGTTCAACTTCAGATAGGGAGTAAACGGGTCCCCATGGTGGCTGCTTCTCTGGTTCGATATCTATCGCATGGTCGTAAGATCGATGCGGTGGTAATTTGTCTGCTTCTGATGGCAGGGAGACTTTAAGGAACCCATGGAGCCAAGAGGGAAGAGTTTCGCGGAGGTTGGTCGATTCATCTTCCAATAGACAGATGCTACCGATGCATTGGGCCTCCGGATCGTCCAGTACACCCTCGTCCATCTCTATTTGAGGTTCCTTGTCAGTGAAGCATCGACTCTTGCAGTTCTCGCCATCGTAGGAAACTTCCCCATTTAACCCTATAACCGGCTTATGTTCTTTCAACCACCAGTTCGGTAGTATTGCATCGATGCCAAGTGGGAGAGGGGCGATCTCGAATGACAACTGTGTTTGATGCCCCTTTGACATTATAATTAATGGTTGTGTAAAGGCGTGTCCCGTGCCCTTCATAACTTCTCCCGTAAATCCAAATACCTGGGCCGGGACGTCTCGTTTCACCTTCGGGACCTCAAAACTATCAACAAAAACAGCAGACAAAACAGGACCAGTTGCACCAGTATCCAACAACACCTTACAAGGTAAACATTTTTCCACAAAACAAAGGAACTGATTAACGATAGGTCGAGGACCATGAATAGGTTCCTCCAAAATCTTCTGTTTTTTCTCCGGTTGGGACGCTCTCCCTTCCTGCCTTTTTCTTTTCATATTTTTTTTGTTGTTTTCCGTCAGTGATAACATAGCAATCTGGGGATACTCCTGACCTGACTCATCAGAGTCCCCTTTTAAAAATCCTCGTCGAAATCCATCTCAGATTCCGATCCGCGTTCTCGCACAAACGCTTGCCCACTGGTGTACTCCGCAGCAGCCGTCGCAGCCGGCTTCTTAGCACGGTGCCTCATTCGCTTTCTCTGAGGTTGGGGTTCCGGTGGTTCCATATCGTGGTCGCCATCGTCATCGCGGGTACTGTGAGGGATGCGTACCAGACCGCAAGAGTACACTACGCAGAGCTCAGAGTTCGGCTAACAGCTACAAAGGTAGAAGTCTCCAAGGTCTCTTCAGTCAACGTCGAGTATGATTCTCCTTGATCCGATACGGGCCCCGCGAGCTACGTTATCAACAAAGATTCACTAGAGTTAGCGTGTGACGTTCGACCGTCTTCGACGTAATAGTTCAGGTAGAGTTCGAAGTCACGATAGAGTAAAGTAATTCAGAAAGTATAGTCAAATAAAGTTGTAACTCGCGTATCAACGATTTATAGTGTTAAGACTCTGATTTCGCCGATGATGGTTTGGCTAGTCAGTGAATGACACAGTATTTATATCCCTCGCTTATGTCTCGAGGACCCAGTCTACTAATAATACAGAATACACTCGGGGCATGCCCGAGACCCTGAAAAACAACCAAGAACATTTAACTCCTAAGTCCGTAACCCAAACTCCTAAACCCGCTAAAAACCCCTTAACCTATTTATCCATTCTAATGCACGTTTCCCTGTCGATGTTTCTTCTCCATCGGCCGTCTGGTGGATAATCGTCAGCGTCGGCTATTCGGAGGTCTCGGACGGCAAGGCTACCTACTCAGGCCTCTTCCCACATCGCTTTCCCACATATCAGAGTCCTCTCATGCCCACAGGTACCGCCAATAGGTACTCGGTCAGCTGGCAGCTTGCGCCGATTCGCTCCGAGCGGTCCGATCTTTGATCCGATTGATTCCAGCTGTCCCTCATATATCCACCAGTAACAAAACACTCCCCTCCGGCGGTTTGACGCTCCGGGGGTTATTATTGGGGTCGAAAACGTGTTTTTTTTAACTAGGAAAACCGCAACTCCGTATTTGGTCGCATATCGATCGCACCACCCCTCGTAGGTGCGAACCGGAGTTGATAGTGGTATTGCCATTACTATCAAAGGGTATTGGTGTATCTACTAGCCTTTCTCTCACTCCCGTAAATGCTTGGCATGCCCGTAACAGCTTGGCATGCCCGTAACAGCTTACCCCCCTTCCAGGGTGTCACGTCTCGGGACATCTTCTGACAGACTATGGTTCCAGTAAACCTGCTCCACATATCACCTGTGGTGTCTGTGGAGGGGAAGGACTTAGCCCCGTGGGGTACCTCTATAGTCTCAGGCGTTGGTCCTTCACGGCCTTGGGGTTCCTTCGATGAAAGTCACGGACTAGATCAAGTACATCTACGTTCATGACATCCATGACTTGGTAAGTACAGTCGCTCATCGAATAGCCCCGCCATTTCACCAGGTATTCCACTAATCCTTTTCTGCTCTTCCGGCTTCCCACAATACATTCCACTTCATACAGAACCTCTCCTTCCTTATCGACCTCTTAGGGAGTCGGGGGACGTTGTTCACGGCCTGGGATACTGCTCTGTCGATAACGTTCCAAGAGTTCAATGTGGAACACGTTATGGATCTTGACTTGTGGTGGCAGTTCCAATTCGCAGGCTCTTTTCCCGGCCAGTCGGATAATTTTGAACGGGCCGAGTTTCTTGTGATCGAGTTTCTTGGTGGAGCGACGTGTATTGATGTTGGCCGCGTTAAGCATAACCATATCTCCCACCTTGAAGTTAGGCGATTCATCCCTTTTCCGATCATAGTATCTCCCCATCTTCTCCCTGGTATCTGTTAAGCGAGCGAGAGCAGAGTCGTGAACTCCTCGGATGAAGTGAGCGTACAGGTCACTGGTTGGGTTGACCACTTCGGCTTCCGTCGGCCAGTTGGTTTTTGGGTTGTAACCGTAATTGGTATAGAACGGAGACTGACCCGTGGCGGTGGTAACCGAGTTGTTGTAAGCATACTCGGCCAACGGGAGTAGCTCTGCCCAATCATCTTGCTCGTAATTACAGAACGCTCGTAGATAGTGCTCGAGGGTTTGGTTCACCCGCTCTGTTTGTCCATCGGTCTGAGGGTGGAAAGCCGTACTCATTCTTATCCTAACGTCCAATAATTCCATAAGGGATGCCCAAAAACTTGAAGTAAATTTGGCGTCCCTGTCGGAAACTATATCAAGAGGCAGCCCATGGAGTCGCCAGATTTGACCGAGGAATATCTTCGCTAAATCCTGCGCGGTCGTTTCTGCTACTAAGGGAATAAAATGCGACATCTTTGAGAACCTATCGACTACTACCCAAATCTGGTTGTATCCCTTTGATTCCGGTAACTGCACGACAAAGTCCATTGATATCGATTGCCAGACAGAATGTAGTGTGGACAGTGGTAGAAGCGCACCGTATTTCTTATGGCGGCTGGGTTTGTTGCGCTGGCACTCGTCACATGACCGAACGTAATCATCAATCCACTCGTTCATTTTTGGCGAATAGAAGTTGCGCGTGATGAGTTCCAAGGTGTTGTCTTGTCCAAATTGTCCTGCCACCTTCGAATCGTGTTCTGCCTGTGCGATTCAGATCTTGATACGGTCGTCTGCCGGAATATAGAGTCGGTTCTTATAGAAGAGTAGTCCGTCTTTTTCCACAATATCCTTCATTTCCCCCAGCTTCTCACCCTGCTCGGCTCTCTCTTTCAATCCTATCCATGTCGGATCTCCCGATGCCGCCTGCCTGACATGATCCAAAAAGTTCTTAGACCAGTCGATCACCCCCTTGGAGGCAAGCGACACCGCTGATACCACAAACTCTTCCTCCGCCAACTGTCCGGGCTTAAAGTACCTGTCTATCGGCTGTTTCCCAAGCGTGCCTCCCCCTTCAGGACGGTACTCCGGCCATCGCGATAGTGCATCTGCCTTCCCATTCTTGGTTCCCGGGCGGTAAATAATCTTAAAGTCAAATTCCGCCAAAGACTCAGCCCACCTTGCCTGTCGTCGGTTAAGAACTTTGGTTGTTGAGAAATATTCCAAGTTCTTATGATCCATATAGACGAGGACCGTTCGGCTAGGTCCTTCGAGGTAGTGACGCCATTGCTTGAAGGCTGACACAATTCCTAGCATCTCCTTATCCCAGACGTCGTAATTGAGTTCCGCTGGGTTAAGTTTTCGAGAATAAAAGGCAACAGGGTGAGTCTTTCCGTCAATAACCTGGGATAGAATTGCGGCGATAGCAAAATCACTTGCGTCCATTTCCACGATAGTCTGGCGATCTGGAGAGAAGTGTACCAAGATCGGCGCGGACGTAAACAGGGTTTTGAGTTTTTCGAAGGCTGCTTGGGCCGTCATAGACCAGACAAAGTTCTTAGCATCACCCCTGAGAAAATCGGTAATAGGTTTACAGACCCCGGAGAAATTGTGGATAAACCTTCTGTAGAAGTTGGCAAAGCCCATGAAGATTTGTACTTCCTTAACGCTGCGCGGGGCTTGCCAATTCGTAACAGACATAACCTTATCCAATGCCATAGTGACGCCTGCTGGGGCAAGGATGTATCCGAGGAACTCGATTTCGGTGAGCTCGAAGAATGATTTCTTCGGGTTGGCGACCAGGTTGTATTCTTGTAGCCTGCTAAGTACTTTGCCGACCAGCTCCCTGTGTTCGTCTCGAGACTTGCTATATATTAGGATATCATCAAGGTATACTACTACACCCTGATCCAAGAATTCCCTCAGCGTATCATTCATCATATTCTGGAAGGTCGCCGGCGCATTTGCCAGCCCAAAAGGCATCACGAGGTACTCAAAATGCCCATACCGCGTACGGAAGGCTGTCTTCCACTCGTCGCCGTCTTTGATCCTGATGAGGTTGTAACCTTCCTTCAGGTCAATCTTCGAGAAGATAACCGCGCCTGCCACTCGATCTCGCAGCTCGTCCATAAGTGGTAACGGATACCTGTTCTTGATGGACACGCGGTTAAGTCCACGGTAGTCAACGCAGAGTCGTAGACTACCATCCTTCTTCTTCACAAATAGGATTGGGGCTCCTGCCGGGGATTTGCTCAGCCTAATCTTTCCCAATCGCAACATTTTGTCCAGGTACTCCCGAAGCACTTTCAGTTCGACCTCGGATAGGGAGTAAACGGGTCCCCATGGTGGCTGCTTCCCTGAGTGGAGATCTATCGCATGGTCGTAAGATCGATGCGGTGGTACTTTGTCAGCTTCCGAGGGGAGGAAGACTTTAAGAAACCTGTGGAGCCAAGAGGGAAAAGTTTCGCGGAGGTTAACCGATTCATCTTCCAATAGACAAATGCTACCGATGAATTGGGCCTCCGGATCATCCAGTACACCCTCGTCCATTTCTATTTGAGGTTCCTTGTCAGTGAAGCATCGACTCTTGCAGTTCTCGCCATCGTAGGAAACTTCCCCATTTGATCCTATAACCGGCTTATGTTTTTTCAACCACCAGTTCGGTAGTATTGCATCGATGCCAGACGGGAGAGGGGCGATCTCGAATGATAGTTGCGTTCGATGCCCCCTTGACATTATAATTAATGGTTGTGTAAAGGCGTGTCCCGTGCCCTTCATAACTTCTCCCGTAAATCCAAATACCCGGGCCGGGACGTCTCGTTTCACCTTCGGGACCTCAAAACTATCAACAAAAACAGCAGACAAAACAGGACCAGTCGCTCCAGTATCCAATAACACCTTACAAGATAAACATTTTTCCGCAAAACAAATGAACTGATTAACGATAGGTCGAGGACCGTGAATGGGTTCCTCCAAAATTTTCTGTTTTTTCTCCGGTTGGGACGCTCTCCCTTCCTGCCTTTTTCTTTTCATATTTTTTTTGTTGTTTTCCGTCAGTGATAACATAGCAATCTGGGGATACTCCTGACCTGACTCATCAGAGTCCCCTTCTAAAAACCCATATCAAAATCCATCTCAGATTCTGATCCGCGTTCCCGCACAAACGCTTGCCCACTGGTGTAATCTGCCGCAGCCGTAGCAGCCGGCTTCTTAGCACTGTAACGGCAGCCATGTGGTTTAGTTATGCGAGGTGTTAGGGTACGAAGAGGAAAGGGTTATGCAGTGTGGTTGGGTTTAGTGAAGCGGGTTTCTATTATGTTCTTTCTGTTTCTGTTATGTGAGGGTATGAGTCAGCATGGGGATAGGGTATGGATATATAAGGGGGGCGTTGTCTCGTGATTTCTTGTTTCTCTTTCTTTCTCTTTTCTCTTTATGCAATCTCTGTACTTTACAGTCACAAATACTATTTGGTTCGCGCTACGTCATAGGGTTTACCCGGTATACTACACTAGGTACAACCACCCATAGTCTATAGTCCACTGTCCCCGTTCTTGCCTTAGGTGTACCCTTCGGCCCCATAGTCCATAGTCCACGAACCTCCTACGTCCACGTCTTCGCCTCGGTTGTATTCCTTGGCTTCATAGTTCCTACGCCCACAGTCCCCGTTATACTTAGGTCGCATCCTCTACAGCCAACCAATACAACACCGCCTCGCTTAGCTCTGGTCGCGACCATGTCCGACACCAGTCAAGATACGTTGTTGCAGCGCCTTTCAGGATTTTTGACCACATATGGTACTCTCCCAACGGATATAGACTTCGGTGATGAACTTACCGAAGCCCATAATCTCATTGCTGAATGTTTGGAGGCTTTCACCAAGCCTTCCGAAATCCCCGAACCCGTTATTGACACGGCCCAAGAAGAGGTCATTATCGGCCTCACCAAGGAACTCGAAGCAGCTGACGAAAAGACTGCCGATCTATTGCAAACCTCGTCCGAATGCCAGGAAGAGTCTACCGAGACTATCCGGGGCCGCGATGAAGTTATCGTTGCTCTCAAGGGCGAGCTTGAGGAGTCTAAGGCCGAAGAGGAGGAGCTTCGGTATCGCCTGGCACTACATCAGGAAAGTCTCGCCATCGCTGACGAGAACCTTGCTGATGTTGAAGATGAGGTTCTTTATATCACCTCTGTTGCAAAGGCCTGGGAGGCCCAAGCCAATGCCACTATTGCTGACCTTCATTCTCGTATCTCCGTTTCTACCGCTACAGTTAAATCCCGCCATGTCTCCAAGCCTCGTTACCTGGCTCCTCGCGCCAAAGATCCCCGTTTCATTAGCAATTGGCGAGAAAGGTCACTTGAAAATGGGTCCCCAAAGCCGGCGTTAAAAGGTCAGCCCCTTTGGTAAAAAATGGCAAACCAAAGCGGCCAGCCCCGCCACCTGTTTCTGTTCTCCCTGCTGCTGCTGTGTCTGAGGATAAGATGTCCGAAGACTCTCTTGTTGTTACCTGTTCCGTCTCTCAGAATCCCGACTCCTTCGTTCCCACCTATTCTCTCATCGATACGGGAGCATCAGGTTATGCGTTCATCGATCAAGGTTTTGTGAAAAAGCATGGACTTTCCTTGGAACCCCTGAAAACATCACGCCTACTCGAGGTAATCGATGGTAGGCCAGTCAAATCAGGATAGGTTACCCATGTTGCTCGCCTCTCGTTAGATATCCATGGCCATCAGGAAACTGCTTTGTTTTTCGTTACCCATCTAAGTCACTATCCGATTGTGATGGGAATGCCTTGGATGCGGCAACATGATGTTACCATTCGACCAAAGGAAAATCTACTTATTTTTAACTCTCGGAACTGCTGTCAACACTGTTCACTCAGTGGAACGGCGGTTACTGTCCATGGCATATCGATCCCCTTACCAGAATTTCATACAGTTGTCAGCTCAGTAGCTGATAAGTCCACCACCGACGTCAAGCAACTCGTACCAAAGGAATTCCACCATCGCCTTCACATGTTTAAAGAATACGATGCCTCAGTCCTTCCACCTCACCGACCCTCCCATGACATTGAAATAATTTTGGAAGAGGGTAAACGACCACCGTATGGACCCATCTATGGCCTGTCGCAGACTGAATTGAAAGCATTACGGGAATATCTTGATGAGAACTTACCCAAAGGATTTATTCGGGCCAGTGAATCACCGGCGGGAGCACCTATACTATTCGTAAAGAAAAGTGATGGGACTCTCCGACTATGTGTGGATTACCGAGGCCTCAATGCGATCACGGTCAAAAATCGGTATCCGTTACCACTATTAAAGGAAACTTTGGCTAAACTTTCGAAGGCACAGTACTATACCAAGTTAGATCTACCTTGGGGATACAATCAGATCAGGGTAGCGGAGGGAGACGAATGGAAAACGGCATTTAGAACTCGATATGGACATTTCGAGTATACAGTAATGCCGTTCGGATTAGCCAACGCCCCCGCCACCTTTCAACATTGGATTAATGATATCCTACGGCCTTATCACGATCAATTTGTCACGGCTTATTTGGATGATATCCTAATTTATTCGGAAACTTTGTCAGAACATAAGGATCACGTCCAGAAGGTTTTGAAGGTACTTGGTGAGAATCATGTTCACCTTAAACCTGAAAAATGTGAATTTATGGTCCAGGAAACGAAATATCTCGGCCTTATTCTCACTCCGGATGGGAATAGGATGGATCCGAAGAAAGTTGTTGACGTATTAGAATGATCCACACCAAGGAATCTCCATGATGTTCAGGTATTTTTGGGATTTGCAAATTTCTATCGACGATTTATTTTGAGATATTCAAAAATTGTTGCTCCGCTTACAGCTCTGACCAAGAAAAATGTCAAATTCGAATGGACGGATGAAAGGGAGGAAGCATTCCAGACATTGAAAAAGATGTTCACAACGGCACCCATACTAATGCACTTTGATCCGGATCGGAAAATCGTGGTAGAAACCGATGCATCCGACTATGTTTCTGCTGGAATCCTGTCCCAACGTGACGACGAAGGAATTCTACATCCAGTCGCTTTCTTCTCTAAGAAACATTCCCCTGCGGAATGTAACTATGAGATCTATTACAAAGAACTCCTGGCAATCGTACGATGTTTTGAGGAATGGCGACATCATTTAGAGGGGGCACAATTCCCAATTGAAGTTCTTAGCGATCATCGGAACCTCGAATATTTCATGTCAACAAAGTTATTAAACCGTCGACAAGCCCGTTGGTCGGAATTTCTTTCACGTTTCGATTTCGTCATTCAATTTAGACTAGGAAAACAAGGGGTGAAACCAGATGCATTGACTAGGAGGTCGGGTGACCTGCCTAAAGAAGGGGATGAGCGGTTGACCCATCAGAGTCAAGTGGTGTTGAAGCGAAAAAATTTAGATGCAAAGCTAAGTTTGTTCGCGGGTTCTTTTTCAAATGAATCCGCTGAAGAAATGTCCACTGTAGAAGAGTTGTTTTTAAATGCTTACCAAGTTGACAGTTTCCCGAACAAAGTCCTTGCAATGCTACGGAATGGCGTCCGTTATTCGAATAAGATTTCGCTTGCCGAATGCACTGAAGACAATAACGGTCGGCTACTTTATTGTGGCGCACTCTATGTACCGGATGACGACGATCTTCGGCTAAGACTCCTAAAGGAACAATATGACAAACCATCGGCAGGCCATCCAGGCAGAGCGAAGACTTTGGAACTCTTGAATCGAGAGTACTACTGGCCACAGATGCAAAAATATGTCGACCAGTACGTTAGGAATTGCAATGTGTGTGCCCGTAGCAAGGCACTACGCAATGCACCTTATGGGGTACTTCGACCTATGCCAATACCCCATGGACCATGGAGGGACGTATCAATGGACTTCGTTACTGACCTTCCGGAAAGCGATGGATATAATGCGATATTGGTGGTAGTGGATCGACTAACCAAGATGCGACATCTGATTCCCACAACTAAAGAGGCGGATTCAAAAGAAGTAGCGAGGTTGTATATCGATAATGTTTGGAAATTACATGGACTCCCTGAAACTATAGTATCTGATCGAGGAACACAATTTGTTGCGGAATTCTGGATGTCCCTTTGCGATCGTTTGGAAATATCGCCAAAGTTCTCTACAGCGTTTCACCCCCAGACAGATGGACAAACGGAAAGAATCAATGCTGTGATGGAACAATACCTTCGAAGTTATGTTTCTTATCAACAGGACGACTGGGTTCGATGGTTGCCAATGGCCGAGTTTGCAACAAATAACCATGCTTCGGAAACGACCAGAATCTCTCCATTTTATGCTAACTCAGGGAGGAATCCAAGAATGACTTTTGGTCCTTTGGAACACGGTAGGACGACAGCGGAGGATCAGGCCAATAGTATTGCAAGGGAGATGAAGGATATATTGGATTTTCTAAAGGATGAATTATTTCGAGCGCAAAGGATTCAAGAAGAGTCTGCCAATATACGTCGGACTCCAGCACCTCACTATCGTGTGGGGGATAAAGTTTTCTTATCGACCAGCCATGTCCTTACCAAACGATCATCGAAGAAACTCGATTGGAAACGCATTGGACCGTATGTCTTGAAACGGATCGTTAGTCCTTACGCCTATGAATTAAAACTTCCCCATTCTATGAAGGTTCATCCTGTATTCCATGTCTCTTTATTGTCGTCTGCAGCAAACGATCCTTTACCAGGACAACAACAGTTACCACCACTGTCGGTCGAAGTTGAAGGACAGGAGGAGTGGGAAGTCGAGGATATTTTGGATTCCAAGGATCGTCGGGGAAGATTTGAATACTTGGTTAAGTATGCCGGTTATGCCGAAGCTTCGTGGCAGCCATTGTCGGATGTCGAACATTCGCCCGATATTGTCAAACGATTTCACGAACGATATCCACGGAAGCCTAAGCCTACCGAGAGATAGGCCGTAGAGGGGGGAGTGGTCTGTAACGGCAGCCATGTGGTTTAGTTATGCGAGGTGTTAGGGTACGAAGAGGAAAGGGTTATGCAGTGTGGTTGGGTTTAGTGAAGCGGGTTTCTATTATGTTCTTTCTGTTTCTGTTATGTGAGGGTATGAGTCAGCATTGGGATAGGGTATGGATATATAAGGGGGGCGTTGTCTCGTGATTTCTTGTTTCTCTTTCTTTCTCTTTGCTCTTTATGCAACCTCTGTACATTACAGTCACAAATACTATTTGGTTCGCGCTAAGTCATAGGGTTTACCTGGTATACTACACTAGGTACAACCACCCATAGTCTATAGTCCACAGTCCCTGTTCTTGCCTTAGGTGTACCCTTCGGCCCCATAGTCCATAGTCCACGAACCTCCTACGTCCACTTCTTCGCCTCGGTTGTATTCCTTGGCTTCATAGTTCCTACGACCACAGTCCCCGTTATAAGCACGGTGCCTCATACGCTTTCTCTGAGGTTGGGGTTCCGGTGGTACCATATCGTGGTCGCCATCGTCATCGCGGGTACGCTTTCGGGAGAAAGAGGAGATAGATGCACTACTGTTAGCATCCGAACGACACCATTTCCAAAGATGACCCTTTCGGCCACATCGTACACAGACACCATCGGTCTTTCGCTGGTCTCAGACCGGCTGTGGAACTCCTTTGGTGGCTTCGTCGTAGTCGTGGTATATTGGCTTATTCCCCGATTTATTCTTGCTGGTGCTCTTCTTATCTTGCCCTTTTTCCTTCTCCTCGGTCTGAGCCCTCCCCTTGATCTTAAACCCCTTTTCCTTCTGCCGCGAGTTCCCACCATTATTCGACTCCCTTCCTCTCGACTCTGCTTTCCCCAACATCTTCATCTGCTCTTGATAAGCCTCATGGGCCTTACCGGCTCGTTCCAACTGTTGGATGTACTCGGAGTCGTCCTCGGTTGGGTGGAAGCGTGAATGGCCATCCCGGATTTCATTTGGTAACCCTTGGAGCAAGGCGGCGCGATAGGATGCTCCTTTCATTTGAGCGTGCTGGTTCATAATCTCCATCCTCGTCAGGTAGTCCCCGATGTTCGCAGAGTACTTAAACTGCTGCATCTTCATCGCGTTCTCCATAGCTTCCTGAGTGCTTAGGAAACGTTTTCTGATCTCCTGACGGAACCGAGTCCAAGTAGCATAGTCGGCGGCTGCCGGACCTAGCATCTTGGTCTCGATATATTCCATAAACCATTCCTTTGCCAACCCACACGTATACGTCCCAGCGAACAGTACCTTGTTCCTGTCCGTTCGGAACTTCTTGGGCTTCTGCTCGAAGTAGATCTCGCACTCCATGAGCCAATGCCGCAGGTTATGCTTTCTGGCATTATCGAACTCAAAGGGTATTTTGGCGAGCGAATCTACCATATCATCGTCTTCAGGCGGCGCCGAATTCCGGTTTCCGCCTCGGTTCATTCTCCAATTCTTCAGACCATGCGACCATTCACTGTTATCGTCGTCATTGTCGTCGGAAGGTTCTGGATCTCCCCCAACATTTCCTCTTGGTGGGTTCTGGGGAGGTTGATTTCCACCATTCCCGCCGACGGGGGCAGCTTCCACCGGTTTCCTGCCACGATTTCCCTGCACTGGGCCGGCATCCTCCAGTCGCCTGCCTCCATTTCCTCCTACGGGACCAGCATTTCCTCCTACTGGGCCAGCATTTTCGGGATTCTTGCCATTACCAACAGGAACCGTTTGGGGTGCATTAGGGTCCACGGGAATACTCACCATGGAGGGTGCTACTGACAAATGTTGTCGTAGACGTTCCTCCATCTCGGCTATTCGTTGGTTTCTTACGTCATCAGACTGCTTAAATTGTACCAACAGTTCCCGCTGTTCCCTTTTCTCCTGCTCTCGCTCTTCTCTTGCAACTCTCAGCTGTCGTTCCGCCTCCAACAGTTGGTTCTGGGTAATTCGATGATTTCGGTCCAGAACCTCGTGGTCGGCGGCTCGTGCGGCTTCCTGTACTTGTCGAACATTTTCGACGAGCTCAAAGAGCGTTTCGAGATGTTGCTTCTGGGCGATGGCTTCTTGCCGTGCTTTCTTATCCAGGATCTGCCCACTCCCTTGCACTTGTTCCTGGAGGTTTTGTAGCTGCTGCCAAACGGCCTGTCCAGCTGTACCAAGATACCTCATTTGTGCCTCATGGGTATCCAAAAACTCCTGCATGGACCTCGTAAACTGGGCTTGAGTAGAGCGTTTACTCGTTGACCTAGTTTGTGTAGCGGGTCCTCCCTGGAGTAGGGGATCGGGGCTAACAGCCCCAGATAACACCATAGCGTCCTCTGCGGCCTCGTCTGTTACGGCCGAGGTGTCTACGAAATAATCCCTTCGGCCAGCCATTGTAATAAGGGATAATGATGATAGTTCTTCTTTTTGAGGTGACTTCGTTACTCCAAGTGAACTTGTGAGTAACAATATACTGTGAGGGATGCGTACCAGACCACAAGAGTACACTACGCAGAGCTCAGAGTTCGGCTAACAGCTACAAAGGTAGAAGTCTCCAAGGTCTCTTCAGTCAATGTCGAGTATGAATCTCCTTGATCTGATACGGCCCCGCGAGCTACATTATCAACAAAGATTCACTAGAGTTAGCGTATAGAATTCGACCGTCTTCGACGTAATAGTTCAGGTAGAGTTCGAAGTCACGATAGAGTAAAGTATTTTCAAAAGTATAGTCAAATAAAGTTGTAACTCGCGTATCAACGATTTATATTGTTAAGACTCTGATTTCGCCGATGATGGTTTGGCTAGTCAGTGAATGACACAGTATTTATATCCCTCGCTTATGTCTCGAGGACCCAGTCTACTAATAATACAGAATACGCTCGGGGCATGCCCGAGACCCTGAAAAACAACCAAGAACATTTAACGCCTAAGTCCGTAACCCAAACTCTGAAAGCCGCTTAAAACCCCTCAACCCATTTATCCATTCTAATGCACGTTTCCCTGTCGATGTTTCTTCACCATCGGCCGTCTGGTGGGTAATCGTCAGCGTCGGCTATTCGGAGGTCTCGGACGGCAAGGCTACCTACTCAGGCCTCTTCCCACATCGCTTTCCCACATAGCAGAGTCCTCTCATGCCCACAGGTACCGCCGATAGGTACTCGGTCCGCTGGCAGCTTGCGCCGATTCGCTCCGAGCGGTCCGATCTTCGATCTGATTGATTCCAGCTGTCCCTCATATATCCACCGGTACCAAAACACTCCCCTCCGGCGGTTTGACGCTCCGGGGGTTATTATTGGGGTCGAAAACGTGTTTTTTAACTAAGAAAACCGCAACTCCGCATTTGATCACATAACGATCGCACCACACCTCGTGGGTGCGAACCGGAGTTGATAGTGGTATTGCCATTACTATCAAAGGGTATTGGTGTATCTACTAGCCTTTCTCCTCACTCCCGTAAATGCTTGGCATGCCCGTAACAGAGGCACGCTTGGGAAACAGCCGATAGACAGGTTCTTTAAGCCCGGACAGTTGGCGGAGGAAGAGTTTGTGGTATCAGCGGTGTCGCTTGCCTCCAAGGGGGTGATTGACTGGTCGAAGAATTTTCTGGATCATGTCAGGCAGGCGGCATCGGGAGACCCGACATGGGTAGGATTGAAAGAGAGAGTCGAGCAGGGAGAAAAGCTGGGGAAAATGAAGGATATCGCTGAGAAAGACGGGCTACTCTTCTATAAGAACCGACTCTAGATTCCGGCAGATGACCGGATCAAGATCCGAATTGCACAATCAGAACACGATTCGAAGGTGGCAGGACACTTTGGACAAGATAAAACTTTGGAACTCATCACGCGTAACTTCTATTGGCCAAAAATGAACGAATGGATTGACGATTACGTTCGGTCATGTGACGAGTGCCAGCGCAACAAACCCAGCCGCCATAAGAAATACGGTGCGCTTCTTCCACTGTCCACACCACATTCCGTCTGGCAATCAATATCAATGGACTTCGTCGTGCAGTTACCGGAATCAAAAGGATACAACCAAATCTGGGGAGTACTGGATAGGTTCTCGAAGATGTCGCACTTCATCCCCCTAGTAGCAGAAACGACCGCGCAGGATTTAGCGAAGATATTCCTCGGTCAAATCTGGCGACTCCATGGACTGCCTCTTGATATAGTTTCCGACAGGGACGCCAAATTTACTTCAAGCTTTTGGGCATCCCTTATGGAATTGTTGGATGTGAGGATAAGAATGAGTACGTGTGAGGGATGCGTACCAGATCACAAGAGTACACTACGCAGAGCTCAGAGTTCGGCTAACAGCTACAAAGGTAGAAGTCTCCAAGGTCTCTTCAGTCAACGTCGAGTATGATTCTCCTTGATCCGATACGGGCCCCGCGAGCTACGTTATCAACAAAGATTCACTAGAGTTAGCGTATAGAATTCGACCGTCTTCGACGTAATAGTTCAGGTAGAGTTCGAAGTCACGATAGAGTAAAGTAATTCCAAAAGTATAGTCAAATAAAGTTGTAACTCGCGTATCAACGATTTATATTGTTAAGACTCTGATTTCGCCGATGATGGTTTGGCTAGTCAGTGAATGACACAGTATTTATATCCCTCGCTTATGTCTCGAGGACCCAGTCTACTAATAATACAGAATACACTCGGGGCATGCCCGAGACCCTGAAAAACCACCAAGAACATTTAACTCCTAAGTCCGTAACCCAAACTCCTAAAACCGCTGAAACCCCTCAACCTATTTATCCACTCTAATGCACGTTTCCCTGTCGATGTTTCTTCTCCATCGGCCGTCTGGTGGATAATCGTCAGCGTCGGCTATTCAGAGGTCTCGGACGGCAAGGCTACCTACTCAGGCCTCTTCCCACATCGCTTTCCCACATAGCAGAGTCCTCTCATGCCCACAGGTACCGCCGATAGGTACTCGGTCGGCTGGCAGCTTGCACCGATTCGCTCCGAGCGGTCCGATCTTCGATCCGATTGATTCCAGCTGTCCCTCATATATCCACCGGTACCAAAACACTCCCCTCCGGCGGTTTGACGCTCCGGGGGTTATTATTGGGGTCGAAAACGTGTTTTTTAACTAGGAAAACCGCAACTCCGCATTTGGTCGCATATCGATCGCACCGCACCTCGTGGGTGCGAACCAGGGTTGTCATTAGCATACAGAGGGTATTGGGGTATCTAATAAACCTTTTCTCTTACTCCCGTAAATGCTTGGCATGCCCGTAACAGCTTACCCCCCTTCCAGGGTGTCACGTCTCGGGACATCTTCTGACAGACTATGGTTCCAGTAAACCTGCTCCACATATCACCCGTGGTGTCTGTGGAGGGGAAGGACTTAGCCCCGTAGGGTACCTCTATAGTCTCAGGCGTTGGTCCTTCACGGCCTTGGGGTTCCTTCGATGAAAGTCGCGGACTAGATCAAGTACGTCTTTGTTCATAACGTCCATGACTTGGTAAGTACAGTCGCTCATCGAATAGCCCCGCCATTTCACCAGGTATTCCACTAATCCTCTTCTGCTCTTCCGGCTTCCCACAATACTTTCTACTTCATAAAGAACTTCTCCTTCCTTATCAACCTCTTCGGGAGTCGGGGGACGTTGTTCACGGCCTGGGATACTGCTTTGTCGATAACGTTCCAAGAGTTCGATGTGGAACACGTTATGGATTTTGACTTGTGGTGGCAGTTCCAATTCACAGGCTCGTTTCCCAGCTAGTCGGATAATTTTGAACGGACCGAGTTTCTTATGATCGAGCTTCTTGGTGGAGCGACGTGTCTTGATATTGGCCGCATTGAGCATGACCATGTCGCCTATCTTAAAGTTCGGCGGTTCGTCCCTTTTCCGATCGTAGTATTTCCCCATCTTCTCCCTGGTATCTATTAAACGAGCGAGAGCTGAATTGTGAACTCCTCGAATGAAGTGAGCATACAGGTCACTGGTTGGGTTGACCACTTCGGCTTCCGTCGGCCAGTTGGTTCTTGGGTTGTAACTGTAATTGGTATAGAACGGAGATTGGCCCGTGGCGGTGGTAACCGAGTTGTTGTAAGCATACTCCGCCAACGGGAGTAGCTCTGCCCAATCATCTTGCTCGTAGTTACAAAACGCTCGTAAGTAGTGCTCGAGGGTTTGGTTGACTCGCTCTGTTTGCCCATCGGTCTGAGGGTGGAAAGCCGTACTCATTCTTATCCTCACATCCAATAATTCCATAAGGGATGCCCAAAAGCTTGAAGTAAATTTGGCATCCCTGTCGGAAACTATGTCGAGAGGCAGTCCATGGAGTCGCCAGATTTGACCGAGGAATATCTTTGCTAAATCCTGCGCGGTCGTTTCTGCTACTAGGGGGATGAAGTGCGACATCTTCGAGAACCTATCGACTACTACCCAGATTTGGTTATATCCTTTTGATTCCGGTAACTGCACGACGAAGTCCATTGATATTGATTGCCAGACAGAGTGTGGTGTGGACAGTGGAAGAAGCGCACCGTATTTCTTGTGGCGGCTGGGTTTATTGCGCTGGCACTCGTCACATGACCGAACGTAATCATCAATCCACTCGTTCATTTTTGGCCAATAGAAGTTGCGCGTGATAAGTTCCAAAGTTTTATCTTGTCCAAAGTGTCCTGCCACCTTCGAATCGTGTTCTGACTGTGCAATTCGGATCTTGATGCGGTCGTCTGCCGGAATGTAGAGTCGGTTCTTATAGAAGAGTAGCCCGTCTTTCTCAGCAATATCCTTCAATTCCCCCAGCTTCTCCCCTTGCTCAACTCTCTCTTTCAATCCTACCCATGTCGGGTCTCCCGATGCCGCCTGCCTGACATGATCCAGAAAGTTCTTAGACCAGTCAATCACCCCCTTGGAGGCAAGCGACACCGCTGATACCACAAACTCTTCCTCCGCCAACTGTCCGGGCTTAAAGAACCTGTCTATCGGCTGTTTCCCAAGCGTGCCTCCCCCTTCAGGACGGTACTCCGGCCGTCGCGATAGTGCATCTGCCTTCCCATTTTTGGTTCCCGGGCGGTAAATAATCTTGAAATCAAATTCCGCCAAAGACTCAGCCCATCTTGCCTGTCGTCGGTTAAGAACCTTGGTTGTCGAGAAATATTCCAAGTTCTTATGATCTGTGTAGACGAGAACCGTTCGGCTAGGTCCTTCGAGGTAGTGACGCCATTGCTTGAAGGCTGACACAATTCCTAGCATCTCCTTATCCCACACGTCGTAGTTGAGTTCCGCTGGGTTAAGCTTTCGAGAATAAAAGGCAACAGGGTGAGTCTTTCCGTCAATAACCTGGGATAGAATTGCGGCGATAGCAAAATCACTTGCGTCCGTTTCCACGATAGTCTGGCGATCTGGAGAGAAGTGTACCAAGATCGGCGCAGACGTAAACAGGGTTTTGAGTTTTTCGAAGGCTGCTTGGGCCGTCATAGACCAGACAAAGTTCTTAGCATCACCCCTGAGACAATCGGTAATGGGTTTACAGACCCCGGAGAAATTGTGGATAAACCTTCTGTAGAAGTTGGCAAAGCCCATGAAGATTTGTACTTCCTTAACGCTACGCGGGGCTTGCCAATTCGTAACAGACATAACCTTATCCAGTGCCATGGTGACGCCTGCTGGGGCAAGGATGTATCCGAGGAACTCGATTTCGGTGAGCTCGAAGAACGATTTCTTCGGGTTGGCGACTAGATTGTATTCTTGTAGCCTACCAAGAACTTTGCCGACCTAATCTCTGTGCTCCTCTCGAGACTTGCTATATATTAGGATATCATCAAGGTATACTACTACACCTTGATCCAAGAATTCCCTCAGCGCATCATTCATCATATTCTGGAAGGTCGCCGGCGCATTTGCCAGCCCAAAAGGCATGACGAGGTACTCAAAATGTCCGTACCGCGTACGGAATGCTGTCTTCCACTCGTCGCCGTCTTTGATCCTGATGAGGTTGTAACCTTCCTTCAGGTCAATCTTCGAGAAGATAACCGCGCCTGCCACTCAATCTCGTAGTTCGTCCATAAGTGGTAACGGATACCTGTTCTTAATGGACACGCGGTTAAGTCCACGGTAGTCAACGCAAAGTCGTAGACTACCGTCCTTCTTCTTCACAAATAGGATTGGGGCTCCTGCCGGGGATTTGCTCAGCCTAATCTTTCCCAATCGCAACATTTTGTCCAGGTACTCCCGAAGCACCTTCAGCTCGACTTCGGATAGGGAGTAGACGGGTCCCCACGGTGGCTGTTTACCTGGTTCAAGATCTATCGCATGGTCGTAGGATCGATGCGGTGGTAATTTGTCGGCTTCCGACGGTAGGAAGACTTTAAGGAACCCATGGAGCCAAGAGGGAAGAGTTTCGCGGAGGTTAACCGATTCATCTTCCAAAAGACAAATGCTACCGATGAATTGGGCCTCCGGATCGTCCAATACACCCTCGTCCATTTCTATTTGAGGTTCCTTGTCAGTGAAGCATCGACTCTTACAGTTCTCACCATCGTAGGAGACTTCCCCGTTTGACCTTATAACCGGCTTGTGTTCTTTCAACCACCAATTCGGTAGTATTGCATCGATGCCAACCGGGAGAGGGGCGATCTCGAATGATAGCTGTGTTTGATGCCCCCTTGACATTATAATTAATGGTTGTGTAAAGGCGTGTCCCGTGCCCTTCATAACTTCTCCCGTAAATCCAAATACCCGGGCCCGGACGTCTCGTTTCACCTTCGGGACCTCAAAATTATCAACAAAAACAGCAGACAAAACAGGACCAGTTGCACCAGTATCCAATAACACCTTACAAGGTAAACATTTTTCCGCAAAACAAAGGAACTGATTAACGATAGGTCGAGGACCATGAATAGGTTCCTCCAAAATTTTCTGTTTTTTCTCCGGTTGGGACGCTCTCCCTTCCTGCCTTTTTCTTTTCATATTTTTTTGGTTGTTTTCCGTCAGTGATAACATAGCAATCTGGGGATACTCCTGACCTGACTCATCAGAGTCCCCTTTTAAAAATCCTCATCGAAATCCATCTCAGATTCCGATCCGCGTTCTCGCACAAACGCTTGCCCACTGGTATACTCCGCAGCAGCCGTCGCAGCCGGCTTCTTAGCACGGTGCCTCATTCGCTTTCTCTGAGGTTGGGGTTCCGGTGGTTCCATATCGTGGTCGCCATCGTCATCGCGGGTACGCTTTCGGGAGAAAGAGGAGATAGATGCACTACTGTTAGCATCTGAACGACACCATTTCCAAAGATGACCCTTTCGGCCACATCGCACACAGGCTCCATCGGTCTTTCGCTGTTCTCGGACCGGCTGTGGAACTCCTTTGGTGGCTTCGTCGTAGTCGTGGTATATTGGCTTATTCCCCGACTTGTTCTTGCTGGTGCTCTTCTTATCTTGCCCTTTTTCCTTCTCCTCAGTCTGAGCCCTCCCTTTGATCTTAAACCCCTTCTCCTTCTGCCGCGAGTTCCCACCATTGTTGGACTCCCTTCCTCTCGACTCCGCTTTCCCCAACATCCTCATCTGTTCTTGATAAGCCTTGTGAGCCTTGCCGGCTCGTTCCAACTGTTGGATGTACTCGGAGTCGTCTTCGGTTGGATCGAACCGTGAGTGGCGCTCCCGGATTTCATTTGGTAGTCCTTGGAGCAGGGCGGCACGATAGGATGCTCCTTTCATCTGAGCATGCTGGTTCATAATCTCCATTCTCGTCAGGTAGTCCCCGATGTTAGCAGAGTACTTAAACTGCTGCATCTTCATCGCGTTCTCCATAGCCTCCTGAGTGCTTAAGAAGCGTTTCCTGATCTCCTGACGGAACCGAGTCCAAGTAGCATAGTCCGCAGCTGCCGGTCCTAGCATCTTGGTCTCGATGTATTCCATGAACCATTCCTTGGCCAACCCACACGTATACGTTCCAGCGAACAGTACCTTGTTTTTGTCCGTTCGGAACTTCTTGGGTTTCTGCTCGAAGTAGATCTCGCACTCCATGAGCCAATGCCGCAGGTTATGCTTCCTGGCATTATCGAACTCAAAGGGTATTTTGGCGAGCGAATCTACCATATCCTCGTCTTCGGGCGGCGCCGAATTCCGGTTCCCGCCTCGGTTCACTCTCCAATTTTTCCGACCGTACGACCATTCGCTATTATCGTCGTCATCGTCGTCGGAAGGTTCTGGGTCTCCCCCAACGTTTCCTCTTGGTGGGTTTTGTGGAGGTTGCTTTCCACCATTCCCGCCAACTGGAGCAGCTCCCACCGGTCCTCTGCCACTATTGCCCTGCACTGGGCCGGCATCCTCCGGCTGCCTGCCTCCATTTCCTCCTACTGGACCAGCGTTTCCTCCTACTGGGCCAGTATTTTCGGGTTTCTTGCCATTACCAACAGGAACCGTTCGGGGCGCATTAGGGTTTAAAGGAGCACTTGCCACAGAAGGTGCTACTGACAGATGTTGTCGCAGTAGTTCCTCCATCTCGGCTATCCGTTGGTTTCTTTCCGCATCGGACCGCTTGAATTCCGCAAACCAAGCTCGTTGCTCCCCTTTTTCTTGCTCCCGCTCTTCTCTCACGATCCTCAGTTGTCTCTCCACCTCCTGTAACTGATTCTGGGTTTGCAGATGGCTTTGCTCCAGAACCTTATGGTCGGCGGCTCGTGCAGCTTCGTGTGCTTGTTGGACACTGGAGACGAGCTCAAAGAGCGATTCCAGATGTTGTTTTTGGGCAATGGCTTCTTGCCGTACCTTCTTGTCCAGGATTTGTCCACTCCCTTGGACTTGCTCCTGGAGATTTTGTAGCTGCTGCCAAACGGCCTGTCCAGCTGCACCAAGATACCTCATCTGTGCCTCATGGGTATCCAAAAACTCCTGCATATTCCTCACAAACTGGGCTTGAGCAGAGCGTTTACTCGATTGCCTAGTTGTTGTAGAGGGTCCTCCCGTAAGTAGGGGGTCTGGGCTAGCAGCCCTTGATATCACCATAGAATCTTCTCCTCCGGCCTCCTCAGTTACGGCCGAGGTATCTATGAAGTAATTATCCCTTCGGGTAGTCATTGTGATAGGGGATAATGATGATAGTTCTTTTCTTTGAGGTGACTTCGTTACTCCAAGTGAACTTGTGAGTAACAATATACTGTGAGGGATGCGTACCAGATCACAAGAGTACACTACGCAGAGCTCAGAGTTCGGCTAACAGCTACAAAGGTAGAAGTCTCCAAGGTCTCTTCAGTCAACGTCGAGTATGATTCTCCTTGATCCGATACGGGCCCCGCGAGCTACGTTATCAACAAAGATTCACTAGAGTTAGCGTATAGAATTCGACCGTCTTCGACGTAATAGTTCAGGTAGAGTTCGAAGTCACGATAGAGTAAAGTAATTCCAAAAGTATAGTCAAATAAAGTTGTAACTCGCGTATCAACGATTTATATTGTTAAGACTCTGATTTCGCCGATGATGGTTTGGCTAGTCAGTGAATGACACAGTATTTATATCCCTCGCTTATGTCTCGAGGACCCAGTCTACTAATAATACAGAATACACTCGGGGCATGCCCGAGACCCTGAAAAACCACCAAGAACATTTAACTCCTAAGTCCGTAACCCAAACTCCTAAAACCGCTGAAACCCCTCAACCTATTTATCCACTCTAATGCACGTTTCCCTGTCGATGTTTCTTCTCCATCGGCCGTCTGGTGGATAATCGTCAGCGTCGGCTATTCGGAGGTCTCGGACGGCATGGCTACCTACTCAGGCCTCTTCCCACATCGCTTTCCCACATAGCAGAGTCCTCTCATGCCCACAGGTACCGCCGATAGGTACTCGGTCGGCTGGCAGCTTGCGCCGATTCGCTCCGAGCGGTCCGATCTTCGATCCGATTGATTCCAGCTGTCCCTCATATATCCACCGGTACCAAAACACTCCCCTCCGGCGGTTTGACGCTCCGGGGGTTATTATTGGGGTCGAAAACGTGTTTTTTAACTAGGAAAACCGCAACTCCGCATTTGGTCGCATATCGATCGCACCGCACCTCGTGGGTGCGAACCAGGGTTGTCATTAGCATACAGAGGGTATTGGGGTATCTAATAAACCTTTTCTCTTACTCCCGTAAATGCTTGGCATGCCCGTAACAGTACGGCTTTCCACCCTCAGACCGATGGGCAAACAGAGCGAGTCAACCAAACCCTCGAGCACTACTTACGAGCGTTCTGCAACTACGAGCAAGATGATTGGGCAGAGTTACTCCCGTTGGCGGAGTATGCTTACAACAACTCGGTTACCACCGCCACGGGTCAATCTCCGTTCTATACCAATTACGGTTATAACCCAAGAACCAACTGGCCGACGGAAGCCGAAGTGGTCAACCCAACCAGTGACCTATACGCTCACTTCATCCGAGGAGTTCATGATTCTGCTCTCGCTCGTTTAACAGACACCAGGGAGAAGATAGGGAAATACTATGATCGGAAAAGGGACGAACCACCTAACTTCAAGGTGGGAGACATGGTTATGCTCAATGCGACCAATATCAAGACACGTCGCTCGACCAAAAAACTCGATCATAAGAAACTCGGCCCGTTCAAAATTATCCGACTAGCCGGAAAACGAGCCTGTGAATTGGAACTGCTACCACAAGTCAAAATTCATAACGTGTTCCATATCGAACTATTGGAACGGTATCGACAGAGCAGTATCCCAGGCCGAGAGCAACGTCCCCCAACTCCCGAAGAGGTCGATAGGGAAGGAGAGGTGCTGTACGAAGTGGAAAGTATTGTGGGGAGACGGAAAAGTAGAAGAGGATTAGTGGAATACTGTTACGGGCATGCCAAGCATTTACGGGAGTAAGAAGAAAGGCTAGTAGATACCCCAATACCCTCTAATACTAATGGCAACACCACTATCAACTCCGGTTCGCACCCACGAGGTGCGGTGCGATCGATATGCGACCAAATGCGGAGTTGCGGTTTTCCTAGTTAAAAAACACGTTTTCGACCCCAATAATAACCCCCGGAGCGTCAAACCGCCGGGGGGGAGTGTTTTGGTACCGGTGGATATATGAGGGACAGCTGGAATCAATCGGATCGAAGATCGGACCGCTCGGAGCGAATCAGTGCAAGCTGCCAGCCGACCGAGTACCTATCGGCGGTACCTGTGGGCATGAGAGGACTCTGCTATGTGGGAAAGCGATGTGGGAAGAGGCCTGAGTAGGTAGTCTTGTCGTCCGAGACCTCCGAATAGCCGACGCTGACGATTATCCACCAGACGGCCGATGGAGAAGAAACATCGACAGGGAAACGTGCGTTAGAGTGGATAATTAGGTTGAGGGGTTTAGCGGGTTTAGGAGTTTGGGTTACGGACTTAGGAGTTAAATGTTCTTGGTTGTTTTTCAGGGTCTCGGGCATACCCCGAGTGTATTCTGTATTATTAGTAGACTGGGTCCTCGAGACATAAGCGAGGGATATAAATACTGTGTCATTCACTGACTAGCCAAATCATCATCGGCGAAATCAGAGTCTTAACAATATAAATCGTTGATACGCGAGTTACAACTTTATTTGACGATACTTTTGGAATTACTTTACTCTATCGTGACTTCGAACTCTACCTGAACTATTACGTCGAAGACGGTCGAACATCAAATGCTAATTCTAGTGAATCTTTGTTGATAACGCAGCTCGCGGGGCCCGTATCGGATCAAGGAGAATCATACTCGACGTTGACTGAAGAGACCTTGGAGACTTCTACCTTTGTAGCTGTTAGCCGAACTCTGAGCTCTGCGTAGTGTACTCTTGTGGTCTGGTACGCATCCCTCACAGTATCGGATCAAGGGGATTCATATTCGACGTTGACTGAAGAGACCTTGGAGACTTCTACCTTTGTAGCTGTTAGCCGAACTCTGAGCTCTGCGTAGTGTACTCTTGTGGTCGGGTACGCATCCCTCACAGTATAT